CTTCTTAGTGATCCACCTGTTTACAGCCTCCTACAAGCTGGGATTACAGGCGCGTGCCACCATACCCAGTCTCAACTGCCATCTCAGTGCGTCCCGGGGGCTGGGCCGGCACGGCAGGCCCAGCTTGTAGGCACTTTAATCTGCTGAGCTATTTGGCCAGCCCTATTTATTTATTTATTTTATTTTATTTATTTTATTTATTTATTTATTTATTTATTTTAATGTAAAAGGGCTTACAGATGTAGGTCATGACAAAGGCTCTCAGCTCAATCCCCAATAGTATCCCCCCAAAAAAGTGAACAAGGAAATAGTTACTAATTATCACATAAAACAAAAATACTATTAACTGGTAATGGTGATCAACACTGAAATATTCTAAAGTTCTGTGTGGTCTAGGAAGACAATTTGATAACCAATAATGATAATAAGTTTAGACTTTAAAAACAGTCTTAGGGTGGCCCTTGTAGGCAACTGCTCTATTACATCCTCTGCCTCAGAAGATACAATTTTTGAGTGTAAGTAGTAACAGAGCTTTCAAATATACAAAAGCCAAACTTATTAGCATTACAGATGAAACTGATAATTATATGGTCACAGTACAGGTTTTCAACATATTTCTTTTAGATCTGGGGCAGTGTTTGAGACAAGGTCTTGCTATGAAGTACAGTCTGGCCTTGAACTTGTAGCAATCCTCCCGCCTCAGCCTCCAGAATGCCAGCATTACAAGCATGTACCACTATACCTAGATCATTTCTCAAAAGAATGGATAGATCAAAAACAAAAACAGAGAAGACCTAAACAATACAATGAACTAGTCTGAGCTAGAATCATCAACTCAACAAGTAGATCACAAATAGATGAGTTATAGAAATTCAACTTAAGTTCAGGCATGTCTTAACAAATAACAAAAGACTTGATTTTTGCCTTTAAGATCTAAGAGGAAATGTTAAATATGCAGTTAATACAGGCATATTCTGAACATGATGCAATTAAGAAACACTTAGCAAAGAAGCAGATAACCTCCACATACAACTCAGAAAATGTAAAAAAGGTCAAAAGAGTAAACAAAAAGAAGAAACAAACACATAAAAGACCCAAAACAGTCAGAAAATAAAGATACACTAAAAAATAAATAAAAGTCAATAAAGCCCAAAGCCTTTTCTTGGAAAAGATAAAGTCCTAAAACATATGGGGGTGGGGTAGGGAGAACGCACTACAATACCAACAAAGGAGACATTAAAGAGGGGGGAGGATATGAAAACAAAAGAATTATTGTGTGTCAGGTACATGTACCAAACATCCATATCCACAATGAGAACAGTCATGCACCACAAACATGCACTAATAAAGTAAAAAACTTAAAAATAGAGTACTGTGAATTACTTTCATCTGCACATATATACAGCCCTGAAAAAAAATAAATTTACCAACATTTAGGAAGAAACAAGAAACTGATCATGGGTGGTAACTTGCAAGAGATGGGGATAATAAGGACAACTTTAAATTAATCTCTTTACATGTTTGGCCTTTAGACATGTAGAGAAAAATTAGAAAACCAGTGATGCTGTGGTGAGACTTTCCGTGTGTGTGTGTGTGTGTGTGTGTGTGTGTGTGTGTGTGTGTGTGTGTAAGGGGGGTGTGTGGCAGGAGCAGGGGTGGCTTAATTTTGGTTCTATTGAAGTGGAGATCCCTTAAGACATAATGGAGATGTTAAATAGGGACAGGTGCTTAAAGAGATGTGGCTTAAACATTGTATTTGGAAGTCATCTGTATTCAAATGATAATTAAAGTCACAAGTTTAGCTAAAAATAATCTAGTAAGATAAAACACTGGTTTTCAAAGTGTGGTCCCTGGACCATCAGTCTTACTTGAGAACTAGTGCAAATTTTCAGGCCTCAACCCCAGAACTGCTTAACTAGAAATCCTGAAAATTAGGGCCCCCTGTTTGTATTAACAAGCCAACCAGTAATTTTAATGTAAGATACAATTTGAGAACCACGATCAGAAGAAGCTAAGAGGACTTAGTGCTTCTCTTGGAGAATTTCAACATTTAACAGAGGACAAGCCTATGAGAAAGGCTGAGAAGAACAGCAAGGGATAGATAAGAAAATGACTGATAGTCCTTCCAAAGAAGTGATGAGAGAGGTTCAGTATTGAGTACTACTGAGATTCAATGGTGATAGTGCCAAAGTGAAGTGGAACGCTGAGGAAAGAGCTGGTGAGGAATATGGAAGTAGTTGACAAGTAAGGTGAAGTGGGTTTTTTTGTTTTTAACAGGACAATAACTTGGATGACAAATTCGCACAGGAGGAGTCTGGCTATGAAGGAGAGTGGCTGTGGTGGCACGTCCAGGGGGCAGTGCAGTAGTGCGCCTCAGCAACAGGAGCAGCTCACAGAGGCAATGGTTAGAACTGTGCAAAATGCTAGTAGACCACTTCCTGTCCGTATTATTACTACTCTGTAAGCTCTCCACAGACCCGTACCCCCCACTGTCTGTACCCAGGTCGGTGGTTCCCAATGCTCTGTCTTTGGTGGCACTGGAATGGACAAGGTTGCCAAAAATGGAGGAGGGCTTGGAGTACAAAGCATGAGTGGAAAGACTGTCCTTGACTGCAGGAGCAGATAACCTTTTTAACAGAAGGAAGGAAGTACAAATGGATAGGCACAGATGTGGGAAGTCTGGTGGCAGGAAGCTAGAGAAGCTGTCATCAAATGGATTCTGTTTCCTTGTAGGGTCATCTGCAAGGCCTACTGGGATATGGATGTGTCCCCTTCTTTTGGCCTCCTTTAGACTCACTGACTAACCATGTATTTATGATTTGGCTCCCATGTAGGTCTGCCCAGGAGGCAAGAATGTGCTGACAATACAAATTTCTTCTCCCTCCTTTCATTTATTTATTTATTTATTTTTTTGGGTAGGCCTGAGGATTGAATGCAGGACCTCACACAAGCTACCACAAGTGTTCTACTACATCTCTAGTCTTTTTAAGTTTGCTTTTAAAAAAATTTTTTTGAAACAGGGTTGAAATAGCCTCAGCTGGCTCCAAACTTGTGAATCTGTTCCTGAGTAGCTGGGAATATAGAAATGAGTCACTGTGTGAGGCAAAAAACAAACAAAAATAGATTTCTCATAGTGAATTCACAATCTTTTTGTTTGTTTGTTGTTGTTTTGTATTTTAGGACAGGGTCTACTGGGTCTACAAGGTCTCACTGCATAGATCAGACTCATAGTGATCCTCCTGTTTACAGCCTCCCATGTGCTGGGATTATAAATGTCCCCGCCACCAAGCCCAGTCTCAACTGCTATCTCAGCCTGCCCCAGGGTCAAGGCCAGCACGGCAGGCCCGGGGATCGAACTCCCAGACCCTGCATCTTAATATGTTTTAAACTGGCTGTTACTACACTGACCTACTTATTTTTATAGAGTGGCATAGTTGGTACTCTGGGTTCCACACCCATGGATTCAATCTGCTCAGACAGAAATATGTGGGGAGAAAAAAATCTGTGTCTGGTCTGTACCCAAGATACACATTTTTTTTCCTACTATTTACTAAACAGTATGGTACAACAACCATAATTACATAGCATTTGTATTGTATTATATACTATAAGTAATTTAGAGATGATTTAAAGTATTCAGGAAGATGTGTATAGATCACATGTAAATACTACACTGTTCAGAGAAGTAACTTGGTCAAATGTGCTTAAATTTGATATCTGCAGGGAATCTGGGAGCTAACCTTCTGAAGGACAACTATATTTCCAAGAACTTTGCAGGAAATAAAACAAGCAAATGGTATGCTATCAATTACTTATTCCATTGTTCATTCAACAAATACTTACACCGATCATAAGTCCTGTGCAACGCCTACCTTGACAATGATGGGACACACAAAATCCTCATTGTATTTATAACCCAATAATAGAGAAATTAGCTCCACAAAGGACAGACAGAATTAACAGAAGAATACACTGACTTCAGAAAGAAATCATATAGAAAGGAAAAATGCCTTCTTGTAAGAGTAGTTATCACAGCAATTGGCTGTCAAGGGAAATCCTGGACTCAATAACTTTAAAAATATAATGACTTATAGACCAGGCACAGTGGCACATGCCTATACCCAGCTAACTCAGATACTCAGGCAGGAGGATCCTGGGTTCAAGGCGAGCCTGAGCAACTCTGTGACATGCTGTCTCAAAATAACAAAAATTAAAAGGACAAAAAAAGTAGCTCAGTGTTACAGCACTTGAGTAGCATGTAAGAGACCCTGGGTTGAATTCCCAGCATGGGAAAAATAAAAAAGAGGACTTAGAGATAGTCTTGCTTACAGGCAAAGGCAGTGCAAATTCTCTGGAATTAAACAGAACAGTAAACCAGATGTGTCCTTCTACCACTATAATCCTAGCACTCAGGCTTAGGGAGAAGGACCCAAAGTAGTTCAAGGCCCAGCTGGGCTACATAGCAAGACCCTGTATGAAAAAAATAAACGAAAAACACTACCTCCACACAAGTGTCTCTGGACTTCCACACATTGGCAGTCTCTCTACAGAAGCAGTAAGGCAGGCTGTGAATTAATCTTTGAGTTTATTTGGGGTCCTAAGGTCAAATCCTGTAGTCCTCCAACCTTCAGGCACCCTGTAATATCAATCGGCGCTTCCTAACTTGCTTTCCTTGATTGACTCCACCACAGCTTGCATTCTGGCCTAAGATGCAGCTTTTCCATGGCCAGGGAGTGTCTGCCATTGAGTATCTCGGTTAGTGGCTCATATAATGACGCTCAAGCTCTGTGTAAATGATCTGATCACCTCGGATATTTGAAAAGTGCCTAGCATACAGCAGATGCTTAATTAAGATTCATTTCCTTCTTTTCTTCCTTCTGTTTTGCACTCATAGTGAGAAGGGGAGGAAAAAATATGAACAAAAAATATGATTGCTTGTAAGACAGCATCTTTCTAGTATAGAGGTATTGAAAAAGTAGGAACCATTTCTCAGTGCCTACCTTGCGTTTGTGGGCTGTATGGAGACAGGAGTTTGGACCTCTTCTTTTCATATCCTTTCTGTGTGATATCCCCTAAAACAGCAAGAAGACAGAACTAGGTTATTAATTATTCTTATTCTTGATGGTTCACTATAAAAATAAAATTAATTACAGTGTTACAAAAGTACCACATAGTATGTGCATAGGGGATGTATGATTCTTTGCCAAGATTTTGCTAAGTGATTTCCCACAGGCTTGGAGTTGACCTCTTGTGGGAAATTGCAGGGTTTGTCCTTACCCCATCTTGCTATCAATCTGCTACATACCATGGCACAGATTCCCTAGGTCCTAAGTACCACTGGGTCCCTTGGTATTTAAGATATATCCAAAACAGAAAGAATACCACGAGACTGATAAGATGATGACCTTTCTCTAGAAGTTTCAGTTTAACCAAATGAGTACAACTTGTGAGGCCTTTGTTCTCTAAGTATAGAGAACCACATAAAATCAGAAGTCTCATTAAGAGGAACAGTAAAGTGAGCACCATGGCACATGCCTGTAATTCCTAGAATTAGAACTCAGGATGGTGGATCACAGGTTTGAGGCCAGTCTCCATTACACAGCAAATTCAAGGCCAGCCTCAACCACAATAATGATATGAAAGAAATAATGTAACTCTTAATCTGCTAGATGTCAGATATGCCCAGTTTGTGTTCTCTAAAACTGAAGAATGAATTTTAAAGAACAAAGGAGATTAAAAGTAGGAAAAGCTATTAAAAGAGCTCCTACTGGGCATGGTAGCACACACCTGTAATCCCAGCAATCAGAAGGCAGAGATAGGAGGATCCTTGTGAATTCAAGACCAAGATCCTGGGCTACAAAATGAGCTCACAGCCAGCCTGAACTATATAGGCCTTATGTCACACACATACACAAAAAAGATAGCTCCTTAGAGACAGAGGACACCTAGAAGTGGGTTGCCATGGACTCCTCTTTACAGAGAAAGTTTTATACGGCAAAATGAGAAGGTGGGTCAAAACTATGATCAACCAATCAGATTACAAGTATAGTTGCTTAGGTAATACTGATCCAAAGGGGAAGGGGGTTACGTAGCACGTGTACATGGAAACAACAAGGACCTTTTCATCTTTTTTTTTGATACTGGGGATCGAACTTAGGACCTCACACTTGCCAGGCAGGTGCTTATGCCACTGAGTTATCTCCCTGGCCCAGGACTTTTTAGGAAGGGGTGGATTAGAAGGTCCTGGTCATCCACCTAGATAATTGATGTCTACTTATTGGATCAGGTGATGCCAATTACCTTATTCCTCAGGGAAGGTATGTAAGCATAGTCATTCCTTCTTTATGTTGATGCCTGGCCTTCAACAAATACACTATAACATGTTCTCATCTCCTGCACTGACTCCCTGGAGTGCCTATCCCTGTCTGACTGCCCAGTACCTGACTTAGTTTTCTACAATCATGAGACCCTGTCTTTAAAAAAGGAAGAGCAGTCAAGGCTCAGGCTCTGGGCTGGGATATTTAAAGGGTTCCTCTGTATTCTAACACCTGTGCTGTGCACTCTCCTTGAGTTGCTGGTTTGTATTTTTTATACATATGGCTGTCTTCTCTATAGGTTAAATTAAAAAGTATGTATGGCTGGGCTTGGTGGTACACACTATAATCCCAGCACCAGGGATGCTGAGGCAGGAGGATTTATGCAAGTTTGAGGCTGGCCTGGGCTACACAGTGAGTTCTGGACCAGCCTGAACTACATAACGAGACCTTAACTCAAAACAAAACAAAAAACAAAAGTATGCACAAAGCACAAACACAACAAATGCAATAAGCACAAACTGATAATAGAAAAAAGTATTTAGTTTGAGTGGCAAGAAATGTAGCAAGAGGGCCGGCCAAAATGCTCAGTGGATTAAAGCACCTGCAAGCAGGCGCAGGGGTTAGGGGTTTGATCCCCGGTCCTGCCATGCTGGTCTCGCCCCCCGGGGCTTGCTGAGATAGCAACTGAGACTGGGTGTGTTGGAGCATGCCTGTAATCCCAGCTCTTGGGCAGATGTCAACAGGCAGATCACTATAAATCCATTCTAGTAGTGAGACCCTGAACACCCTGTAGACTCTTCCCTAAAATTAAAAACAAAAACAAACCCTAAACCCAATGATGGAAGGATGAAAAGCAGCAAATGAAGGAAGAGAGTGAATAAAGAGACAGGACTTGTGGAGTAGCTGACTGTGGTGGCTTCTGGCGTGGGCAGGGAGGTGGTGTAAAAGAAATTTAGCAAGCGGTACCTGTCTGGTGGGCTAAGAAGATAACAGACGGGCCTAGAACAGGCCCCGGGGGATAACAGGAGCTGACTCATTAGCAGCCACCTATCTGAGACTAGAACTCAGCAACACATGGACTGCTTCAAGAGAGGAGGAGGACAATGCAAAATGTTCAAAGCCAGAGGAACTCCATGCCAGATAGAAAGCTCCCTTAACTCAACTGGACAAAAAGTAACCATTTGGCTGGGGGTCCTGGGGATGTTGAAGTAATCAGGCAATTTCTATCAAAATTTGGACTTAGCAATCATATTTCTGGAGATTTATGCAACCTTCATATATACACAGGTGCACAAAAATCATTATAAGCATATCCCAGGCCCCATTCTTCGTAGTAAAAAACCTAAATGCAAACTAGTTACCTATGTATATCAAAGACTTTCACCTTATTTTGTGAGTGTGTATATTTGCAAAACACATGCACCTATGCCTCCCTGTCTGGGACACCTGGCCATATCTGAGAACATTTCTGTCATAGGTAGAGAAAGAAGTACTATTCGTCACCTAGAAGATAGCAGCTAGGTAGGGAACATCCTGCAGTGAACAGAACAGACTCCCAGCAAAGACTTCTCGAGCTCTAAATATCAGAGGTGCTGGTGATGAAAAACCCTGATCTACACAGTAATATGTAAGCATTCTCAGTAGACCAGCACAGGAAGATGTTTAAAATATGTTATGTGGCTGGACATGGAGTACATGCCCGTAATCTCAGTACTTGGGAAGCCGAGGCAGGAGGATCACCTTGAGTTCGAAGGCCAGCCTTGGTTGTAGTGACTTCAAGGCCAGTGTGAACTACATAGTGAGCCCCTATCCCAAAAGAATGAAAAATAAATACATTGGATATGACAGATAAGCAGGAGATTGGCAGGTCTACGGATATAGTTTTGTAAAGTATACGTTTACATATATAGAGAAAATAATCTGGAAGGCTATAAACCCAATGTGTACTCTTAGGGGATAGGATTATGAGGGAGTTTGTTGTATATACTTTGAATTTGATTTTAACAAAACAAGCTTGATTTATTAATCTCGATTTTTTTCATTAAGAACAAAGCTCCTGGGCTGGGGAGATAGCTCAGTAGAATAAGTGCTTGCCTGGCAAGTGCAGAGTCCTGAGTTCAATCCCCGGTACCACCAAAAAACCCCCCAAAAAACAAAAAAACAAAGCTCCTCACCAGAAGGAAAAAAATGATGGTCTGGGGGGGGATGACGGTCTGCATGCATACAGTTGCTAACACAGTAAGAAAGAGACCAAAATAGTCAACAGAAAATAATATTTTACACAGTATTTTAAATTTTAGAATATCAATATATTTAAGCACATGTAGCATGAAAAACCAAAAGATCACGTAAAATGCCTGTGTTTTCTGGTGGTTCCGGGGATCGTGCCTCCAGCTTGGACCTGCAGTGTCCCCAGTGCTGTGCCCAGAGCTGACGGTGCAGCTTGTAGGTTCATGCTGGTTGCAGTTTTCCCTTTTCTTCTGTATTTTCTAATTTTTCTACAGGGAACATTATTATTTAATGAAACAAATATTTTGAAATTTCAATCATGGCTACTTATTTAATCATGATGGTTCTTTATCTCTGTTCTGTACTAAATTTTTGTTTTTAAATACAGCTCTCTTCAAATTAGCCAACCCAAGAGTTTAAGTAATCTCAAGAGGGATAGGAATTTAGCACCAAGGAAACTTTCTTTCTTTTCTTTTTTTTTTCTTTTTTTGAGACAGGGTCTTGCTATGCAGTTCAGGCTGGCCTTGTACTCACTTTTGTAGCCCCAGGCTGATTTTGAAGTTGTAGTGATCCTCTAGTCTCAACCTCCTGAGTGCTGAGATTACAGGTGTGTACCACAATGCCCAGTGTTACGGGGCCGGCATGGCTTGTGGGTCTGGGGATTGAACTTGGAACCCTGTGCTTTCCAGGCAGATGCTTATGCCCTGAGCTATCTCCCCAGACCCAGGAAACTTTCACTGGAAACAGAAATTACATTTTTTAATTGTAAAATGGCGCTCTCATGCTGTTAAGTTGAGCTGTGGGGGACTCAATAATTTCTGACATTGCCAGTTAAACAGAAGACCCAATGCTATTATGGGCTACTGGACTCTTTTAGAATATTTTGCTGAGTTTACACACCTATAATATTCAATAATGGAACTTAGAAAAAATGGGGTATACCTATGAATGTCCATTTTGTATCTGTGTATTCAAAGTGGTTGGGGGGCTGGTGAGATGGCTCAGTGGTCTAAAGCACCTACTTAGAACAAGCTTGAGCAAAGCAAAGCACAGGGACCGCGGTTCAATCCCCCAGCACCACATGCCAGCCAGCCCCGCCCCCTGGTGGGCTGAGCTGGTCACACACGCACACGCACACACATAATAAATAAATAAAAATTTAAAAAAAAAATAAAAAAAAAAAAAACAAAGTGGTTGGGATAGATATATAGTTGCATTCTCTTAATGAATAGAATGATTTGTTCTATGGTGTTTGTAAATAGGATCTCAAGTCCGCATCTTGTACAGCAATTAACCACTAAGAAGAATATATGCAGTGTATTATTTGTTGAAACTATACTTCCGATTTGATTTGAAACTGTCTCATTGCTATCTGTTTATCAATAAAACTTTGGACAAAAATGGCTCTCTCTCTCTCTCTCTCTCTCTCTCTCTCTCTATATATATATATATATATATATATATATATATATATATATATTTAGTACAGGGTCTACAGGGGTCTCTCCCTCTCCCTCTCTCCCCTC